GCTTCATTACCACAGGCAGTATACGGCCCTCATGATGTCCTTTCCAACAGAAGATGGAAACACAGTCAGGTGATCAGTGATCATTTCTGGAAACGCTTCATCCAGAATTACCTCCCTGGGCTTCAGTTGAGACATAAATGGAGGAAAGCTACTGATAATGCTACTGTGGGACAAATTGTGATGATCGTTGATTCCAACCTTCCCAGAGGACTTTGGCCTGTTGGTACCATCACCAAGGTTTTTCCAGGGACAGATGGTGTTGTTCGAGCGGCAGAGGTGAAGGTTAAAGACAGTATCTACATTCGCCCGGTAACCAAACTGGTGGAACTCCCTGAAATGCCTGAGGATTCAAATGACACTTCTTAAACTAGTTTACTTTTGAATGAGTGTATTTGCTAGGCAAATACAGGGGCGGCTGTTAAAAGTCCGTGCCCTTATGTAGACTACGTTACCCATAATGCATGCGTTCATTGTAGTTCCGATCGCTCGCGGTTGCGCGAGCCGCTTTCACTTTCGGTGCGGTCTAGTTTTATGAGAAGCAGCATCCTCAGAGCAGAAAACTGACATCCTTTGTTAATCCTTCGCTAATATTGTGTGTAAGAGCGCTGTGTGCGTCCTTGAGATATAGCCACACACACACTCACACATACACCCATTGACACATATTGTGTCATATTGATATCTGCAAACTCTTATCCTCCATGTACCTTACTCCTCAATAAATATGTAAACTGCACCATTGGATTTGCCTATTCCTTCTGACCGAGGAAGACTCAGTTGATGAGCAATCTATAATCAGCCGCAGACGCACACGGTCTCTCACATAATGTCTGCATCACTCATGTCAAAGGAACATCTAACGTAGTTGCTGACGCATTGTCCCGTGTGTACCAAGACTAAGAGGTGTGCAAACAGTGGTTTGCACAACTTTTGGGGGGTGGCATGTTACGTCCCCAGAGAACTGGGTACGTATTATAGTGATTTTCATTTCTGGCATTGCTTGTGGTTCTTGTGTTTTTTTCTTCTTACAGGTAAGATGGCTTCAATAACCATTCCAGCAGCTGATTGGTGGATCAACGGCAGATTGGATCTTGGAACTCCTCCTACTCGTCAGTGGCTGCAGCTGGCTGGGCTCTTTAAAAAGCCTAGTTTTGGATCTGTTCACTCTCTGCTCTGGGCTTTGCACTCTGCTCTGGGCTTTGCACTCGGTTCCTGCTGTTGATGTGGTTGGTATCCCTTTTTGGGAAACATTGTGAGTTGTAGATAACTTTTTTTTGTTGTCTATTTTGAGAGTAGGATTGGAACATTTGATAATACTTTTGATAATGTTGTAATCTGATTTGTTCGCTAGTAACACTAGCTTTGTGTTCCACTTTTGGAACTTGAGCAGCAGGACTGAGTTTGTTCTTTGTGAATTATTATTATTATTATTTGTGTTAACTTCTTATTTCTTGTTCTTTGTTTTATAGGGAGTTGGGGGAGTAGATTTAGAGCTACCCCGGGGTATACATCACCCGTAGGCATACTTCTCTGTCTATAAACACCAGTTAGACCTGGGCGGACCACCATCTGTAATTTTGTTTAGGGCGCCTTGATCGTGTGCCAGATAGGTGATGTGTATAATTAGTGTAGGTTAGGGGTGGGGTATTTTTGTTTATTTATTTTCTTTGGTTCGTCCAGCTCTCCCCTTTCTCCCTTAAATTTGTTTATCATTTACATTATTACCGTGACAAAAATAAAAACACAGTTTGTACGGTATTTGGAATTTGTCTCCTTTTCTCGCACCACGACTCCATTCCTCTTTTGCTGGCATTTGTGGGTCTGAGCAGGGGGTTATCAGGTTCCCCTCCCTTTTTGGGGGCTGGAACGTAACAATCCAATATTAAAATGAAACAAAATTGAATATTATATAAACGTGGTTTATGAATGAAACCACATTTATACCTAACTAAAAAGGTCTTTCTATTTGTTTACATTATCACACCTTTTGCTAATTTAATAATTCTTTATTTATTGGCTTCAGTTGTGTTAATTATCATTCCTTAGTCGTAGATGTGGTGTTGCAGGAAAATGTGTCTTTGCACAGGAGCTGAAACCAAGGCTGGAAGCTCATCTCTCTTGTGGCTGATACTCTACTTCCTGCCACATGATTTGATGGTCTGGTAGGCTCCATCAGCTCATTCACAACATTTCAAACTCCAAGGCAGATAGTATGCAACATTTCTGGAAACTAACACTTTTGGGACAACAAACTGATCTAGAGGGAGAGCCCGAAGAAAGATTGCTGCAGAAACACTTCCTGCCAAAAGATGTTCTTTCAACTATTATACACCTTACCCAGGAATGTGAAGTTATGCATATGGCTTTTATATGTAGGCTATGTGGAAACTTACTGCCTTCTCTTCTGTGGGTGGGGGTTTTATTATAATGCCTTTGTGGTGCAGGATGTACCTCTCTTACTGAGCAGAAGACTGTGATCTTGGGTATAGAGGAGGCCTGCAGACAACGCTGTAGGAGGTAGCTACCGCAAGCCAACCAGAAGATGAATACCATTTTGGTTTTCGATCCTCATAAAGCATGCTCAGGAGTGCATTCACCGGCTGCTCACCGCTTAGGAGTTTTACTGCCACCTACCGTATAAAATGATGATCCATATATAAGGCGCTCCGGATTATAAGGAACACTGTCGTTTTTTGAGAAGATTAAAGGCTTTTAAGTGCACAGCGCGCATCTTCCTCTGCTTGTAAACAGAAAGTTTTGCGCTTCCAGCTATATCAGCACATCATCTTATACGGTAGGGGGCGGTAAAACTCCTATGGGTGAGCAGCCGGTAACAAGAAGTAGACGAATGAGAACGTCCTCGTCTCAGTTCTCGCGCATGCGCCCATAAGGGAGTAATGGAATAGTGGAATAAAGTCGTTATTTATGTTTTTTTCGCACAAAAAGTATTCTCATCGCTTGATAAACTTATAATTGAGCCGCTGTAGGCACATGGAATATTTAAACCTTTTCTTTAATGACTTTATGGGCCGTCAAGAGCCAGTCCCTTAGGCAGCCTATCTAGGACTGATCCAGCTCTCAGATTCAATCAAAAATATCTTTATTTGTGTTCCGAAGATGAACGAAGGTCTTACGGGGTTGGAACAGCATGGGGGTGAGTAATTAATTACTTAATTTTCATTTTTGGGTGAACTAACCCTTTAAGCTGTCCTTTAGTATGAGTTCCAGGTGCGAGTGTTTCATTGTTATCTATGTTTAAATTAAGTTCGATAGGCCCATTTGTAGTCGCTCTTTCCTGGAGAGATTGTCAATACACTTCCATATCATTTTACTATTACCTTTAGCCTGTTTAATTATTTCTAAGAAAAAGTCTGCTTTAGCTCTCCTGAGCTGTCCTATGACTTTATTTCTCAGGCTTTTGAAAATCAAATGATCAATCCCCAACCTTGACTAGAGATACTTTTTTAGGGCAGCATCTCTTTCTTTCATTAAAAGCCATAACCTCTCGCTAAGCCATGGAAGGTTTTTTTTTTTTTTTTTTACTTTTAAATTTCCGTGGCTGCTTTTTTGTGTTTTATTTCAATATCCAAGAGTTCCCTATCACGCTTAGAAATATGTGATATATGTTTTTTCTCTATTTTGATTTTTATAACGGGTCTTAGAAAGTTGCATTGCTTGCAGGTCTAGCAGTGTTTTAGTGGAGCTAGTTATTCTAGTTGGATTATCATTTATCAAGAGTTAAATTAAACTGTTTGGCAATGAGCCTTAACTTATTAGACCGTGTTTTGTCCAGCCAATTTAGGTTAAAATCTCCCATGAAAATAGTTTCCTTTGCCACAGACTCTAAGTATATCCTGCAACATCGAAAAATGCATCCTTCTCATTTGGGCGGCCTATTATATTACTACAACATTAAAGACACACATAAAACATCAGTTTTAAAATCAAACATTTTAAAAGATAGCATCACGGTTGTTTAAACCAATGAGCATTAAGCTGTGTCGTCAGCAAGTCGTTTCCCATCGTACTTTTGTTCAGCGCAGTCGGTGGAGAGCAACTGCGCAAGACTGCAGAATCCCGACAGGTGCCCCTTGCGTTCGCGAGAGTTTTTTGACATACGTCGGCATGACATCAGAGCCAGGCGGACCACTCTCGGACACATTTCTAACCGGCATGCATCTCGCGCTGATCACCGGAGCCTAGTGCGTCGACCGCCAATGCGCAACATCATCACGTCGTGACGTACGATCCTGCATTGGACACTGATTGGACCGGACCAGAGCTGTCTTCAGGTCAGAGTTCACAAAAAGTGTAGAGACCATAGATATGCACAATAAAGGCTAGATGTCTTACGCACGGCGGCGTTTATAGGCAAGCTGATGTAAGATGAGTGATCAGCACGAACACAAACTCTTATCTCATTGAAATATTGACGGATTTACAAACTGTTTGGTTTCTTAAACGTTATTAACGTGGCTATAATTCTGGATGATTATTTATTTATACACTTATCATAAGTCTGCAGTGTCATAACTATCTCTGTCGTTTATAACAAACCAAACCGTTTAAAATCGGTAGAAAATGGGCTTGCCCAGCTGCACAACTTCCTGAACTTCAGCCAGCTCCTTGTTTCCTGTCTGCCATTATTGGCCAAATTGATTAATTCAGGTGTACCTGACCTCATTAGTCATGGCAACAATAATCAGACACACCTGAATTAATCAATTTGGCCAATAATGGCAGACAGGAAACAGGGAGCTGGCTGAAGTTCAGGAAGTAGTAGCTGGGCATAAAGCCAATTGAGCAAGTTTTGGTTATTTAAAAAGTAACGTTACATGCACCATTAAAGCACAATGTTACGAGTGAGTGAGGTGCCTGACCGTGATAAGATGGCCGCCAGGTGCAGACGTCAACCTCCATTGGCCAACAGCATGGACGAGATCTAGCCTGTATAGTGGATCTATGGTAGCGACATCCCCTGTAAAACCCTGGTAAAACCCGAGACTTCCACTTTGAAGAAACCGTTTTAACATTACCATTTGTGTGTTAAACTTAAGTCACGATGATTAGGTATGCTATTATCATTATTATTATAAATATCTAATATGTATTATATAGAATTGTTGAAACCGAAACCGAAACCAAGATATGCTCACTAGAATAGGCTACGCTAACGCAAATTCTACAGTACCTTAGATAACTTAGCCATCTAAACCTAGATCACGATAGATGAGCTCATAATTAGCTTGTTTGATACACATGCCAGTCGAATCGGATTGGGGATTAAAGGGGAAAATACTTGATAATATCGCTAATTTATATCAATTTTAGTAGGCGTTACTTGTAGCCTACGTTCTTGTTTTTCAGTAACTTAGTTCTACAGATAGTGTATTGAAAATAAACTGTTAGATGTTTTATTATTATTGTCGTTTTATAGAATTAGCAGACTTAGAACAAGCCCGTCACAATATAGCCTACATTAGCCATCGTCTTATTAAAAATACAGTTAATTTGATGTACCATTGGCGCATAATGGAGTTGGGTAGAGACATTTTGACAATATTTTTAAAACAATTTTAAACAATTTTTGAGTGAACCAACCCTTTAAAGTCTTGAAATTAATGTCATTAATGGCTCTCATGTCGTTCCAAGCCCGTAAGACCTCATCTTAGTTATCATCGTAAGACGTTCATCTTCGGAACACATTAATGACATAATGCATTAATGTCATTAATAACATTATTTGGTAACACTTTAGAATACGGTTCCTTCGTTAATGAATAACTACACAAGAACTAATGAGTAACACAACATTAACAATCTAGTAACTATTATTAACTAACAAGAAACTCTGATTAACGAACTAGTAAGTATAGCGCACAGACGAAAGTGGTAGTTCACTATTAAGTAATCAATAACTACTATTTTTTTAATACTTCCCAGAGAACTACTGAAAAAGTTTATTAACAATCTAGTAACTACTATTAACTAAAAGAAATTCTTATTAACGAATTAGTAAGTAATAGCTCACAGATGAAAGTGTTACTAGATACTTCTGTGGGAATTACTAATTATTTGGATCCGTATTATAAAGTGAAGATCATTGGAACTAACTAGTAATTACTCAAGTGTTACTAAAGACATTTTCTAAAAGTTACTAAAGTTCACCAAAAAATCTCAAACATTTGCACAAATCATGACTAGATCATGTAGTAACACTTGAGTCATTACTAGTTAGTTCCAATGATCTTCACTTTATAATACGGATCCAAATAATTAGTAATTCCCACAGAAGTATCTAGTAACACTTTCATCTGTGAGCTATTACTTACTAATTCGTTAATAAGAATTTCTTTTAGTTAATAGTAGTTACTAGATTGTTAATAAACTTTTTCAGTAGTTCTCTGGGAAGTATTAAAAAAATAGTAGTTATTGATTACTTAATAGTGAACTACCACTTTCGTCTGTGCGCTATTACTTACTTGTTCGTTAATCAGAGTTTCTTGTTAGTTAATAATAGTTACTAGATTGTTAATATTGTGTTACTCATTAGTTCTTGTGTAGTTATTCATTAACGAAGGAATCGTATTCTAAAGTGTTACCCATTATTTTCATTTTTGGGTGAACTAACCCTTTAAACAGCTAGTTTAACAGCATAGTTGCCGACTGTAAAGATCCACACACTAAAGCTACATGTGATTATATTCTAGACTTTACAGATCCGATGACAAAGGGGAAAAAAGCTTAACTCACAGAAACAGGTTAAAGCGTATGCTTAAAGACCCCCTGAAGTCCAAATGTAAATTTGTTGCTTTTAGAATGAATATGTTAGCCTTAAGGTTACTTATAAACAGGTGTGTTCCAAGACAAAATGACAGAAAATATATCCTAAGCATTCAAGACGTACAGTCACTCACAAAATGGATTGGAGATGTGTGTTCAGTTGTTTAAACGCTCAAGTTTTATTCCGTTTTTAAACTTTTAGTTGGGTAAGAATGAAATGGCTTTAATTTATTCACACCTCTACTATTGAATGCCAGCGCTCGGGTTTCGCTTCCATGTTGCTGTCAAATAGGCCTTGCAGTCTGTGAGTTAAACTAAACGCTATTGTCTATTTGAAAAGGGGGAGGAACTATAAAATATGACTCTATATTACAAAGCTGCGCTCCAAGGCACTTCAGCGGACATTTAATGAATGCCCATGTCAACAGGCCTTTATTTTTACAAACAGTGAAAGAATAGATCAGAGGCAGATTTAAATATGATAATGTAATTTTGTCCTTGTCATGACCTAAGCATATTTTTTCTGTTTACAGATGCTGTATTGTTTTGCTTCTTTTGTTAACATTACATGAAGGTGAGTACTAAGGGCGAATGCGCATTAGAGAGTACTTTGAAGGGACTGACTGATACGACTAGTCAATTTGAAATCAAGTGAAAATAATTGGGTGCCTTAACATTTTTTTCTTTTCATCTTTGCAACACATCATGCATACTGAAATGAACAAATTCACCGTTTTCTCTGACTGTAGTTTATAGACTCTCTAAAACACTAAGGGCCAGATTTACTAACGCTTACTAACTTTGGCGCTAAAAATACTACTCCAAGGGTTTAGTAAAAATTAGCGCTGAAAAGGCGTGGACAGTAATTTTTGTGGCTGACCTTATTGCATATGCGTTTAGGCGTTTCCCTTTCAGACGCAAACTGAATGGGAGGAGAGTGTAGTGGCGATCGTACCACAAAATAAAGTCACTTGAGGGAATATGAAGTCATCTCCAACTCGTTGTAGTGCAATGAATCACATCTTCCAATGGCATGCGATTAACACTTTAGTTTATTGATAAAATTACTTGAAAAAACACTGCTGCTTGGATTTCTGATGTAAGTTGAGCTCATGTACAAACACCATGTAGTAAACACCATGCAAACTGCAGGACAAAATCCATAAAACCAATCCACACATGCACGCAAGCACGGTTGAGAAACTGTGTGGGTTCCCCAGATCCTAATTACTTCATGCCATTCACCTGTGACTTCCTCATATATGGTGCGTTCACATGCTATGGAAAATAGGATATTTTTCACTTGTGAACTGGTATTTACCAGTGTGTTGCGTTCAAGTGCTTTTGTTGTCGTAATGTGGTAAAAAGATGGAGATCCAGAGCTGTTATTTAGCTAAAACTATTTTAGATCACTCAAGTCATCTGCAACAGCAAGAAAATGATTTACCAAAACTCAAAAGGTAAATAATATGCTGTATATTTTTTAGATCATGAATAGTATATATTTTTACCATTCACGAGTCTCGCGGTGCTCTCCGCCATTTTGAAAAGGTCAAAGGTTATCTCATCTCGGCAACTCTTCCATCAAAATATTCTACGAGCTGCCCAGTGGAAAATACCACATGAGGTTGGTGTTCATGTGCATTTTCCACGTCGGCTTTTGCTATTTACCATAATTACCATAGCACATGAACGCACCAAAAGTCTCGATAATTGCTGTGATTCCCTGCCTATGCTCCCTGGTGTGCAAGTGGAGGAGCGTCACCCCTATACGACTACTATTAACTAAACGCATATAACACACATCAAAATTGGCTACAAAAGAGAGTATTCAAATTAACCATGCAAGATGATTTACTAAGGTTTACGCTAGTCAATTTACTGCTGTTTGCGCCACTATTTACTTGTATCTTTAAACCAGACACTAAGGCCCTGTTTACACGAGAACGCTTGCGGGTGAAAACGTAAAAATATTTTATTGGATGTGCCTTTCGTTTACACGGCGATGGAGTTTTTTGGGGGCTTAAAAACGCAAAAAAGTGAAACCACCCTCCAGAGTGGAAATCTTAAAAACGCGTTGTGGTTTCTCCTTTGGTCGCACTCATAAAGGACCAAGTGAAAGAAGCAACACTTGTTATCTTACTTCTAAAATAAGTAAGTTCTGTTGTTGACAACTATGCTATGCAAAGTATTTGACTTACCGTGTTGCTCTGATTGGTTGTAAGTCTGTCCTACTATCCAATTGAGTCCAGAGGGTTTTTTTTCCTGTTTCGGTTAAGACACGTCTCATAATCAAAGCCCAGGCTATAAATCTGGCCCTTTTGTAAAGCAAATTATTGTTTCTTGCATGAACAACATATGATTGTACCTTTTATTTAACCTTCTCTCTGTTTTCAGTGTCTCTGCAGGAGCCCATTGTGGGTTTTATTGGAGACTCTGCAGTTTTACCTTGTTTTTCTAAAGAACATCGGCTTGAACTTCAAGACATCACTGTGCGTTGGAGATACAATGACAGCCTGAATGTGTATGACATTATTGATGGTAAAGGCTCTGTAGATGATCAACATCTAGCATACAAGAAGAGAGTTGAAACATTTCCTGATGGTTTTGAGAAAGGAAACTTCACGCTCAAAATCAACAATCTTCAAAATAATGATACCGGGAAATATGTCTGCTACGCAACAGAAATTCAGAGTGTGGATCTACTTGTTAAAGGTTTGTGGCGAAAACTTTTTATTACCTCAATTTTTAAATACAAAAACAAAGAGTCTTAATAAATATTGTTTTATGTCCAGTAAAAGAAAAAAGCATCCAAAAAAACAACCAAACTGAAGGAAAAAGTAACCAAGGAGCGCAATCAAGACCAGAGAAGATTATGACTGCAGTGCCTTTGCTCTCTGTTTTCATTCTGCTCCGTGTTTGAATAGGCAAGAGAAGTATTATGTCCGATTATTATCTGCTTAGCATCAAACCTTAGCCACCTACCTATCAGAACCTTCAAGAAACAGCTGAAGACCAACTTCTTCCGTTAGCACTTAAACATCCACATTAAATGTGCCTTAATGTATATTTTGACTTGTACGGAAGCCTGAAGAAATATTTTATCATTCTTTATACTATTTAGCAGTATTGTTTTTTACCAAGTTAAACTATGTATGTATCAGTTTTATACTTATTTATTCTGTTAACGCAATGCCCCTTCATTTACATAAGACGTGACCATTCTCACGTCACCCTGCACTGCAACTGCTTGAGACTTTCTACACTGTATGCAAAATACATCCGTTGCAAATTTGTGAATTGGACCTTTCATTTGACCTTCATATCAGAAGTAGCGCAGTTATGTGGAGTATGTCAGAAATAGAACGTAGCATGAGTCTACTGTTGGAGATTTGTCGTGTCATAATCTGGTGTAGACTGTATCGCTGATTATTGTTGTGTGGTGTGCTCTCAGCCAGACTAGACAGTGTTACCAACTTCCTTTTACTATTGGTCAATAATATGTCATATTTTTGTGTTATCTTTAACGTTTCTGATGTTTCTTGAAATTTATGTTTGGTAATTGTTTGCTCTTTACGTCTTGCCATCATTGTATATTGCGTCATTGAATATAATGTATACAATGGTGTCAATGTCCATAAAATGTGCACTGAAATAAAAAGTGAAAATGATTACTGGCTCCAGTGAAGACTTTTATACATATGTCAAATTCATTTTCAAGCGTAAAACTACGCTAAGTATTCACTGGAGTAAAAAGTGTCACAAAGCTCCTGTTCAACCACATCCCAAAGATGCTCTATTGGTTTGAGAAACCAATTTGAAATTATTCGAGCTTTGTTACATGGTGCATTATCCTGATGGAAGTAGCCACCAGAGGATGGGGACATGGTCGCCATAAAGGGATGGACATGGTCAGAAACAATGCTCAGGTAGGCCGTGGCATTTAAACGAAGCCCAAATGGCACTAAGGGGCCTAAAGTGTGCCAAGAAAACATCCCCCACACCATTACACCACCACCACCAGCCTGCACAGTGGTAACAAGACATGATGGATCATGTTGTCATTCTGTTTACGCCAAATTCTGACTCTACCATCTGAATGTCTCAACAGAAATCGAGACTCATCAGACCAGGCAACATTTTTCCAGTCTTCAACTGTCTTAATTTTAGCAAGCTCTTACAAACTGTAGCCTCTTTTTCCTATGTGTAGTGGAGATGAGTGGTACCCGGTGGGGTCTTCTGCTGTTGTAGCCCATCCACCTCAAGGTTGTGCGTGTTGTGGCTTCACAAATGCTTTGCTGCATACCTCGGTTGTAACGAGTGGTTATTTCAGTCAAATTTTCTCTTCTATCAGCTTGAATCAGTCGGCCCATTCTCCTCTGACCTCTAGCATCAACAAGGTATTTTCGCCCACAGGACTGCCGCATACTGGACGTTTTCCCCTTTTCACACCATTCTTTGTAAACCCTAGAAGTGGTTGTGCGTGAAAATCCCAGTAACTGAGCAGATTGTGAAATACTCAGACCGGCCCGTCTAGCACCAACAACCATGCCACGCTCAAAATTGCTTGAAGGGCTACTTCAGGATTTAGCATTAAGCTTTGAATTAGTAGAAAACCTGTAGAATTTTCGAAGTAACATGTTTTTCACCCTCATACCCCCCTGCCCCTGGAGGAGGCATACCCAGCTCTGGCTTTGCTCTGTCCCGTTTGCACTCTGTGACTGTACGCGGACAAAACTCAAAGCTTTAGAACCTCAGACTCTTTCTTTGTCTGTCCAAGCAGGCATCTCTTGTCCAAACAGTGGATGGCCCACTGGATAGTGGATAGCGCCAATTTTGGGCGCTATCTAACAGATATCTGTAGAGCTGGGGGATGGGCGACAACCAAACACGTTAGCTAGGCCTTCTATAGCCTAAGTTGCGTTTTGGCCTATTTTTTTTAAATTGCCATTTTGATTTTAGCCTGGAAGTCAAGCTTGGAATGCTAAAAAAGATACTTTTTTTCACCAGTGTTGGTGTAAAGAGAAAGTCTGCTGGAGTAGCACGACGAACATGTTTGAACTTGTAGGGTGCAGCTGAAGGCACATGCTTTCCCTTACTTCTCCAGTGTATGATTGCAAAGTAACTATGTAAGCTAACTTGGTTGCCAGGTCTGCAAACTGAAGACTTTATAAGTTAAATGTAAATTTATAAAGTTTAAAGCACTTACAAAGTTAAGAGATCAGCAGAAGAGTTTAAAATAAGTTTTATATTTGTAGCAGATTGACTTGGGAAAATTGTCTCAAACTTTGAGGCAAATAGCAGACATGTTACAAAAAGTGAAAAAAAAAGTGTACCAAAAAGTGTTACATGTGCATAAAACAACATAAAAGAAACAAAAAAGAAATGCATCCATAACATTTATTTTATAAATAGGCTACATTCACTTCATAAGAACACAATGCAATCTCAATCACACACTTAAATTTTACAAGAATACTCTAAATGATAAAATAAAGTAAATGCAAAAGCAAATGCCAGAGAAATTAAAGTCTTTGCACTGTACATAACATTAGACATGTTACATTGAATAAATCCAAACAGCTAAAAAAGTAATAAAAAAAATAACTAAATGCTCATTATCAAATGCAGCCTTATAAACACTTTTCTCTCTTCAAATCTCTATAACATTAAAAACATATTTCTGCATGGCAATCTCAAAGCAACATGATAATTGTGACGGTCAAAAAGAGATTTTCTGGAAATTTAGTATAATTTATTTGAGTAAACATTAATGAAATTACCGATTCTAAAAAAATATATATATATAAATGAAATGTACCTACCGAACGGTGTCTGGAACCTGTTGTCTAAATGACGGATCACTTGCAAAATCCTGATACTCCCACAGAATCACTTCCTTTTAGTCTCATGTACACATGGTCCCTCCCACGAAACAGCAAAGGTCTCTGTTGTTACAGAGGCAGAAGTAGACGAGGAAGAATAAAAGCTTCCAATACAAACTTTTTCTTACATGATAACTCAAATATAGGTGCAGACAGTTCACACACACCAAATACAACAGCGACCAGACCAAGACTGACTGAACAGAAGAAACTAAATACACACACTGATGAACAATGATTAACCAAAAACCGGTGAACTATTAATGATACTGAGAATGGCACATGACAAGATGACAGGCAGACAAGTCCAAGGAAAACAAACTCAGCAGAACACAACCGTGACAAGTGGTTTTAAAAGTGACATTCTTGGGTCTCATTTCACACCAGAATCAGACAGAAAGGTGATTCGTTAATTAAGATTTGTCATTATTCATGTCATCTCAATCTAGATGCTCACGAGTTGTGAATTAGTTCATCTTGTTGTTTCACTCGTGCTGTTTCAGATCCTTTTTTTATGCGTTCCCACATAGTACAGAAACTTAAGTTGCTTGAATAAACGAATTATAAGCTTATTGTACTTCTGTTTACCGTGTAGATGTTTTACCTCAAACGCATATTTGTGGAAGTTTTACTTTTTTCAAGACTGAAATGTGTCAACTTCAACACAAATGAAGATGAACATGGAATTCTGTCTACAAGTATACACAAACATTGTTTAGTAGCAAAACAGTGACTAAAAAAGGAAGGCAAACAGTGTCTTGAGTCTTTTATAGTGTGATGAGAAGGTGACCTTGTGTACAGTTATCTGAGGCTCTTATATCATAACATTACAACCGGACAAGTGTGTCAGATAACTTGTGCATAGGCCTATAAGACAAAATTGCACCTGTACGGCACAACCTCAGTGCTTGAAACCTGCTTTTGTCCCCTTGTCCTCATTTAAGAGTTCATTGACAATCATTCTGTCCTCCTCCCAAAAATACTCTTTTCACAAGCATTGTATATCGAGTGTAACCAGGCCTGTATTGGCCTTCTGGCACATGCCAGAAGGGCCGGTGTGATTTTCTATTGTTTTGGGCCGAGAGACACAGATAGTTGCGTGTTCTGGGTCAATTACAGCTAGCGTATAAAATACGGGATATTTTTAGGGATGGCTGACGCGAAACAGACGTTTCGAAGCTTTGCGAGATCTCGAAGCGCAGATGATTCGAAACACTGATCCGAAGCGTGATTCAAAACACCTACGTCACGTGACTACGTGTTTCATCAGGTGTACAGTGTTCCGCCTAATCAGGGTTGAAACCCGATGGTGGGTCAAAGACGCTGCGCTTACAAAAGTGTTTGAGAAGTTTAGGGATCCAGAAGGATGTCTTTACATTGATCTTGTTGTTACACTCAAGGCCCTGAGCGAGAAAGACAACATGAAGCCGACTGTGCGCGCGAAGGCCGACGGTTATGCAGAGGCTCTGCTGAAATACCAAACCACCCTCACTGCCCAGACGTTTTACGCATCTTCCAACAAACAACTCCACTTTCCAAGTATTTGCAAACTAGTGGAATGGATTTGCTCACGGCCATCGCTTTGTCACAAGCACACAAGACAATCTGAAAAAAATATGCAAGGGATTTTAAGGGGATAAAGACAGCAACAGACGCATTTGTGCAATCAATGGGCCAATGGAGAATTAAACGTGTGTGAGACAGACAGAGGTGGAACATGCGCTGCCAAACCGGAGACCAAAGAAGACAAAAAAAAAAGACGTGATGACACAACCATATCAGATGCTGACAGCAAGTATGAAGTACAAGTGCACAATGTCATTCTGGATAATCATTGAAAGTGTTTCCCGACGTTTTGCTGAAAACAGAGAACTATAAACAGATTTCGCCCTGCTTGATCCCCAGAATTTCAATGACTTGAAATGTAACGGTGTACCTGCAGACGCACTCAATGCCCTGAGCGCCAAACTGATCAGACACGATAGCAGAGCAACTCCTGAGGCCTTACAGGGTGAACTAGCCTGGCTACGCACTGGGACAAGCTGAAGTTGTCTGTGCGCGAAGAGTATCTGACCAAGATGAGTACTGAGGATGGAGATGATGAGCAGACTCCAGATAAAGAATGGGATGTTGTGAACAAAACCTGCCAATCTTGCAGAAAATGTCCCATCTGTTGTTATTATGTCCTACAAAGGTATAACCTGCTCACTGACTCCTATCTAATCGGACTTGGATACGGGTTTCTGTTAACTCTGTGACACAAG